TGTGAACATTCTCTGAGGGCTCTTTGGAAAGTGTGTGTGGTGCTATTTGAGAACAGGTTTGGGCTCACTTGTGGCTTCCCCACATGGTGAAATGTCATGTCTATTACTGATGAAGCTCTTCAATGCTGAGAGCCTACTGTGGTGAGGCGTTGGAACAACAACAACAACAACAAAATTACACTTATAGAGCGCCTTTCACGTCGGGAAGACGTCCCAAAGCGCTGAACAGGTAGGAGAGGGGAGAAGAGGAGGAATGAGTATTACAGTATTAAACCGAAGAGTTGCAATGGCGTGATAGTTGTTTTCAAGAATCGCGTTGATGTACCACAGATTTCTTCTCTTAAAAATCGGGATTAAGGTTATTAGTATTATTATCATCTGAAAGTCAGCAAATAGTCAAAGTAGTACTCCCATTACACTGCAGTACGGCCTCCCAACATGGGGCTTCAACCCACAATCTTCTGACCCAGCAGCAAGAATGCTACCAATCTGACACATGAACATCGACTCATTTTGTAAACTACATCCATGGCCATTTACAAAATTACATTTGCATAGCGCCTTTCATTTCAGGAAGAGATCCCAAAGCTCTGAGAACAAGGACTTCAGGGGATTGCATAAGAGTAGCGTTGGGTGAACACAGCCTTTGGCACAATTGGTATTATCTTCTAGAATATCAATCTTCATTTTAATTTTAATTAAATCTTTCCATTCCAGGAAGGTATTTCTTCCTGGCCTCAACCAAGATTCTTGGTAACTTATTGCAGTTGATAATTACACTGCGTGTAAAGAAATACTTTTAGGTGTCTGTTCTGAAATTCCTGCCCTGACTTCTGCACTCTTGTCCTGCTGTCTTGCATATGTGGAGGTAATTTTCTTGGTTTACTTTCTCAATTCAATTTTTAGAATCTTATATATCCTTTAAGCGCTCTGAGACGCCGTCCGGCATGGAGGGCGCTATATAAATCCAAGTTGTTGTTATTGTTATATGGTCACACATAAGAGATTTGGGTTTATCTAGTTAATTCTTATCTAGTTAATTCCCACAGATTATTCCTCTAACATTGCTGCCATCTCTGTGCTACCTCTAGAGCTCGGGAAGCTCCCTACACCTTAGTGACCAGAAGGATACACAGGACTCCAGGTGTGACCTATCCAGAGCACTGTTTAGCTTCAGCATGTCTTCTGGTGTTCTGAAAAATAACTAATCTGGCAATATAGTCCAGCATCCTGTTGGCCTTGATTTACAGCTGCCGTTTTAACACAATGAGCAATGAGTCAACTAATATTCTATAAGCTTCTTCCAGCTGCTCCTTTAGCAAGTTTGATCCCGTGTAGAATGTTACAGCACGGAAACAGGCCAATTGACCTAACTTGCCTGATCGGTGTTGATACTCTTTGTGGGCCTTCACCCCTCTTAACCATCTCTCCCAATCCCACCATTCCCTCTGTGTGTGCATCACTCTTAAATATGTAGATGCTTTACATGTGCCTCCTACATTTACTTCTTGTATCCAGTATCCTTCAATTATTTGCATTGAACTTCATTTGCCCGTGACCAGCCTAGGTGCATGCCCTATCAAGCTCTCTTTTTAAGATCTTGAGTGACTCCTCTGATTGTACAGTATCCCTGGCCTAGATAGACTGATGTCATCTGCAAATTTCACTACTTTGTAATGAGTCTCTGAATCCAAATCATTTACATAATCTTCGACCCACAAAGGTCCTGTGCAGCCTATTTCATTGAAACACTTTCCTCTTTTATCCCTCTGTAGCAAACATTATTGTTCCAGTTCAATGCATATATTGGTACTCTTGAGCGCCTCCTCCTGGTGGTGTCATTCCTGTTCTCACTTTGCTATTTCCCTCCCATGTACTGCTCCTGTAAATGTGACCTGAGATCAAAATTTCACCTGTGAATCTACAGAACACACAGTCACTAACTTTTACAGTAAAATCCTCTGAAATTTTTTTTTAAGGTCCTCCCAATATGCACTTTATCAATCGCAAGAATTAGTGTTGTTATTTTATCTTAAAATTTGAAACTGTGCACAATTTCTGGAAAATTCTTAAATCCAGCCTTAATTTGGAAGACAGTTTTCTGAAAATGTTATTTTAAAATATCTGACTTGCAGTTTAAGGGTGAATTTAAGAATTTTCCACAATCCGTGCGCACTTTAATTGTAAAACAAAACATCTTTGTAGTGTTAAACTAGGTGGAAAGTAGATTTTGCAGAGTAGCCAAAAGCACAATGATCAAGGTGCAATGAGTTGACAATATCAGGAACAAATGGTACCTATTTGACACTGATGGCAGCTGGACTGACTGAAGGACAGAACAATATGGTGATCACTAACATTTAGTGATGTCCCAAAGCGCAAGTGATAACAAGTTAAGTGAAGTGTTCAGCTTAAACTGAATTACCACAGAGTTTCTTTGCTCAATATCAAATTTTACAAAGGTATTCCAAGCTTAAAATACAAGCCAATAAATCGCTTCATTTCTCATCTCAGTAATATTGAGTTAAGTGAACCCCCCCCAAAAAAAAGAATCACTCCATCCACGACTGTTTGTGGGACACTGCTGTGGCGCAATTGGGTGCTGCATTTTGCCCACAAAATACACAGTCAAATAACTTTACAGTATATTCTGTGAAGTGCATTGAGACATCTCAACAAAGTCATAAGGCGCTATAACAAATGCAACGATCATTTTTATTATACAAGCTGAATCCAGAATCTTGCAAATAACATCTGGAAATCACAATTAAGTCTCCATTTAATTCAGCTGAGCTGAAGCCAAACCCACAATTCCACCCACAAAATTAAAATCAACAGTATTACCACATAACTTTGGGAAATGTTTCTCTGAAGTGTTTGGCAAAGAATAAATCATACAGTGTTGCGTGACCTGGCTCACTTGTTTACTTACAAGTACCAACTTTGTGGGTACTCAAAACATCAGTCAAAATGTTGTAAAGTTTAATTACTATTCTAGTGCTACATGTTCACGATCACAACAAGTTGAGGTTTAAAAGCTCTGCGGGCCATTTAGTTAACCTTGTGCTTCCAGAATAATCACCACACCATCCTCCCATCACAGGGTCAACTTGTTTCTTAAATAAGTCCAGAACTCTGGCCTCAACCACTCTTCCTGGTGACCCGTTCTAACCTATGCTTGTTACCCTCTTGAAAAAGCTCCAGCTGATTCAATAGCTGCTTCAAACAGAACTTCAATGTTTCACAAGATAATATATTTTTATAAAATTAGAGAATGAGCACTTGAGATGCCTGATATTTACTTTGAATCTTGTAAAGTATCTCCTCAATTAATACATCTTTATGCCACTTCTACATTTCATCCTTATATCCATTCCATCCAGTTATGAAGCATCTATTGGATTCTGAGTCCCTCTTCACCTTTTTCCAGGAGCTAGTTTTTAATGCCAAGGATTGTTTAGTTCAAGATGTTCAGATATCTGGTGTTTAGATCTGAAGTTATACTGACATTTTAGCCATTCTTTGGATGAGATGTTAAACTGAGGACCCCATGTCTGTAAAGCACTCCGAAATACTACACTGCATGAAGGGCACTATATAAATGCAAGTTGTATTGTTGTTGCTGTCCAACTGGATTTTAAAGATCACGTGACACTATTCAAAACATGAAGGCCAACAATCCTACAGATAAACATGTCATTCACTTCATTGGTTGTTCGTATGTAATTCCTCCCTCGTTTATCTACAAACACTGAACTTCAAGGTTTATGGCATAAATTAAGATTTTTTGGGGGCTGAGTTTGCTGAGTTTTTAACAAGTGGACATTTTTAAAATTGAATTAGATATGATAGATTCCGGACGGTTTGAACAAGAGGACTGGCGGCTGGATCAAACTGGGGCCAAAATTGCATGTCGGGTGCACAATCCATATGCAACTTTGATGAGTTCCACTAAACATGAGAGAACATGCACACGTCAACCTGTAATTGTTGTCAGTTGGATTGTGGAGGACAGCTGTGTATATACAGTAAACTCCTGTAGTGGACAGTTGTGCATTCTGTAAACTCCTGATAATTTGTCACCCCAAGGGAAAAGGACTCAGTGACTAGTTATATGCAGTGGTTTGTTGGGCCTAGGTCCTAGGGAGCCACAAGGGGGCACACATGCTCAGATGCACAGCAGAGGCCTCTGAACTTTTCGAGGGGTTGGGTGGAAGGCAGAGTAGGAGGCCCTCCAATAGCCTCTGCCATGCACCTGAGTATGTGCTCCCAACCTCCACTGAGCACCTGCACCAATCAGAGGATAGACAGGAGATCACTAGGATCCAAGATACCATTTTATAGGATTAGTTATACAATCAATTTTACATTGCAAGAATTTACAAGAATTTCTATAATGCGACTAGTTACATGCTAAGCAAAGTGACAAGCAGAGTCCCTTATTACTATTTTTCATCGGAAGCAGCCAGGATATTGAGAGCATGGCACAGCATACTTAATTATGGAATCATAGAATATTACAGCACAGAAGGAAGCCATTTGGCCCATCGTGCCTGTGCCAGCTCTTTGGAAGAGCTACCAATCAGTCCCAATCCCCATATCCTAGTGTCTTGTTATCAGGAATTTACTGTATTTGCAGATACAACTTGCAAATTGTACACATGTGCTATTAACTTGACTCGCAAATTAAACCCTGCCATCACTTTTGGGTTTCATTGTTAACCTATTGTGCAACTACATTCAGCATTAAACAACACTGCAATGATTCAAAGTCACAGGATTCTGCTTATTTGCTCTAACTGTATTGGATTACTGACTCGGTGTGTCCTGCCCAGGGGAGGGGGAAATAAATTAATCAGTGCATTTTCTTAATATTGAACACAGCACAAAGCTGAAGTAAGTAGATTGGGGCATTTAAATCAGGCGAGGGGACCCCTATGGGACTGTGGGTTTTGCATATGGATGTGGTTTATAACAAGTAGTGGAATTGCAGTACTTACTTTACTGATATGGAGAATTCCCCTGGTGAACTCTCACTTTCCCGCAGCAAGTATGCCCCAGGGTAACTCTGAAGCTGCAACATTTCCTCTGCCGCAGTTCTGGATATTCTCCCAGTGTACCAGCTGTCAAGCAAAACAGCCACGTTAGATACTTTATCAGAAGTTGCCATTTCTGAGCACTTTTCCAGCTCTGCACTCTGGCTCCCGCAATCCCACCACTGGCCAGAAATTCTGCCTGATCCTAGTTGGTGCAATCATTTTGGTTTAAGAACGTAAGATTGTGAAGATAAAATAGTCTTGCGGGTTAAGGCTTTAATTTTATTTATTTGAAAGAACTTGGTTCCAAATTAAGGCTGAATGTGAGAATTGTTAAAAGTTCTGCACCATCTTTAATCTCAAGAGGTATCTTTACTGCTAAACAACAACAACAACAAAATTACATTTATAGAGCGCCTTTCACGTCAGGAGGATGTCCCAATGCGCTGGACAGACAGAGTTACGGACCCGAGCTGGGGTTGGGGTCGGGGAGGGTGGAGGGCAGGGGGAGAAGCAGGGAAATCGAAAGAGGAAGGTCTTGAGATGGGTCTTGAAGGTGGCAAGGGAGGGGGCAAGACGGAGGTACTGCGGGATGGAATTCTAGAGGGTGGGGGCAGAGTGGCAGAAGGCAAGCAAGGCAGGGAACATGAAGCAGGCTGGAGCCCACTGAGTGGAGGGAGCGAGCAGGATGGTAGGGGTTAGGAGGTCGGAGAGATAGGGGGGAGCAAGACCATGGAGGGGTTTGAAGGTGAGGACCAGGATATTGAACTATATCCTCTTTGTGATGAGCAGACAAATGAGGATGGGGGTGATAGGGTCGCGGAGCCCAGTGCTGGAGAGGAACAGTCTTCATTGTGTGGATGATGATCACCAAAAGTGATCCTTTTTATTAAAAGTTTTTTCAATTGCTAATGTTTACTAACTCTGCCTTCAGGCACTTTACTTGATAGCTCAAAATTGCTCACCAATTTTGCTTTATTAAAAAAAAGTCTGCCTTGAATTTTAATCTACAGAACATTGAAAACATACTTTATATGGGATACAAGATGAGGTTATTCTGTGCATGAAATAAGTTGTGTAACATTAAAAACGAAATATTTCACTTATTTAGAAGTAACAATTCAATACGGTAACACTGGCAATACATGACCTATGAAGAGCAACCCATTAATGGCCAACATTAGTTATAACAGAAATTTTACCCATTACCTTTGGAATGGAACAAGTTGATCCACAGGCATGAAAGTAGACTTGCACTGTGAGCTTTTATTCATAGTCGATTTATAGATTTCAACAGAGAAAGAAGCTGTTTTCAAAATTCGAGTTGTTGCTCGTGCATGTTGAGGTTATTCAGTTTTCTCATCAACAAAATGTACATGGCAATCTCTTGGAACCCAACTGCGTAATTGACATTTCCTTCACTTTTAAGCTGTTTTGATGTATAATTGAACCTTGAAAGTTCTGTGATTATTTCATAGCACATCCTGTGCTTGTATCTTGTTTCTGTTAAAATGAACGCAGCTAACCGCTAGATTATTTTAAAGGATTTGTTGTACAAAGAGTAGTACAGATTCTTACTGAGAATTAGCCTTTTTGTTCTACCTGTGGGTTGGCTCCAGGGCCCGAGCGGTCTGTTACATGGGCATTATTGTGAAGTGCTCTGAGACATTAGTCTACGTGAGGAGTGCTACATGAATGCAAGTTGTTGTTGTTGTTGTTACCGAGCATCCTGTTTATTTGTTTGTTTGTTGCTGTCTGACACAGTTTGAACATGGAGTTTGACAACACAAATAATTTTGAAGTTGACGATGACCCACTGTTTGAACATAGCTCAGAATGTAGCTGATACCTTCAAACACCTGTTGACTGCTTTGGATTAGCATCTAAAAAAATACACAAGTTGAGAATAACCCAAACCTTCCTTTTTGTACAACAGTAGCAACAGGTGCTGGTAACGTGTCTGACACTCAGCAAAGTGTGACACTCAGTTACTGAGCGATACTTACTTGTGTGGTTTCATTTTAATGTAATTTTTGGGAACAAATCCTTCTGTTCCCCGCAGTTCAGCTTTATACCAATTCGGGTCATCTTCCATATTCAGCACCTTAAAATAAAGAGATTGTAGTCATTGGATAAATCTTGCTTTTACAACAACAGAAATATTCACATTCACAATAACGAGGTCTGATAAAAAGAAGGCCCTTTGGTCTGATCTCGTCCATACAGAACAACTCCCTGCTCTCCAACAAAGCATTGAGCTACTTTTTTTAAACGAGAATGGTGTCCTGGCTCAACCACCCCTCCTGGAAACCTGTTACAGTCCCTTTGGAACTTGAAACTTGCCTTCTTCTGCTATCTTGGTGCATCTGAAAGTATTATTTTGACTTTACTTCCTCAATCTGATTTAAAATGTTGTAAACTTTTGGAAGACCCACACTTATAGGACTTTTCTTTTCAAGATGCAGAGCCCTAGGCAGTCCTATCGTATACAATGTAGCATTCTCCCAGTCCAGGGGCTGAGGCACCAGTACAGTGTTGAGGGAATGATTTATTGTTGGAGGTGCTGTCCTTCAGAAGAGACTTCAAGTCAAGATTCTATTTGTCTATTCAGACGAACGTTAAGGATCCTGTTCAAAAAGAGAAGGGAGTTTCTCCTGGTGTCCTGGCCAATAATCCCCCTGATGAAATTGGTCATTCACTCCATGATTGTTTGTGGGGCATTGCTGTGTAGAAATTGTTTACAATTTCAGTCTCTAAACTTTATTGTAAACCCTGTGAGATGCTTTGATGGTGTGATAAGACACTTTATTAAATACAAGGATCATTATTATAGCTCATTCCTCTAACACTAGGGTTTAGTCTCCTCTACAAGGTCTCTGGGGCCCAAAAAGGTCCTTATGTTGATTGGATGTTCTAAATAGTTGACCATATTTTAGACCTGAAATTTCATCCAGTCTTGGTTTGTAAGAACATTTTGTGTTAAAATTGTGAAATTGTGAAAATGAAATTTAGTCTTAATTTGGAAGCCAATTGTGAAAAAACTGCTCCAAAATTAAGGCTGAATTTAAGAATTTACCAAATTCTGGACATTCAATATGTTAAGAAAACTGCATCTAGACCCAGTGGAATTTCTCCCTCATTCTGTTGCCACAAAAGGTTATAATTCTGTACTCCAATTGCTATTAGTTCTCAGAAGATAAAATGTCATTGATTGGAAATAATTAGATAAGACCTACTGCGAACTGTTCTGCCCTTTCTTTCATTTCCTTTATCTGATCCTCTTCATATTATTATATGGGTTCAATGTTCTGATGTTGTCAGCCTGTAACCTTGTGAGAAGAGGAATTGTAAACTGGACTGGGTGGTGCCCCCATTTTTATAGCATTCAACATACAGTTTCTGGCAATGTAACATTTCACAAGCACACTCCCCATCTGCTATGACTCAAAGATCCTCTACCATTGAAAACAAACATGATACAACATTGTAAATCAACCAATATTTGATTAATGCTCCTGCCCGCAGGTTGCTAACAGAATAACTAGTTAAATACTATACTTTACCCAACCTGGAGCACAAATGTGAACTTGCACGGTCTAGTCTGGCACTCCTGGGGGAGCAACCCTAATTTATAACAGGAAATAATGGGGTCCCACAATGTTATGGCCAATATTTCTCTCTCGCCTGAATTAAGCAGAATAGATACATTTGTCATTCATCTCAATGGGATATGTAGAACATCATTAATCAATTTTCCTAGATAACAGCTGCTACACTTTAAAGTAACTAATTGGAGCTTATTGCAGCCAAATGATGCAGTTGAGTGTTCAGAAAGCACTTTGTGAAGTACTTTTTCACATAATAAGGTGTTTGTCAACTGTTAGTATGAAACTGTGGGCATGGGTTCAATCCAGTGAGAAACTAGAGGGGATAAAATTCTACCTGGATCTAGAATTACTTTATTACCGTAACATTTCAGAGCATACAGAATATGGCACATTCTTAAACACAGCCTTAATTATGAAATCACTTTTCTTGAAGTTCTTTTAAGAAAAATGAATTCAAAGTTAAGACTGAATTCTCAAAACAGATTGTCAATTGTTGGACTGCCTGAAATGTTAAATAATGGGAGCAAATGCAGACCGAGGTTGAATTTTTCCCCATAGACTCCTTATACAATTGAGTCTTCTAAAAAAATGACCATGCCAAAGATTGACCCCAAATCGTCCTGTAGAATAGTGCGGAGGCAACTGCATTCCATCATAAGACAATTATCATGATCAAAAGGTTGCCTCACGCATTCATTAAAATGCATTATTCCACATGGGGGACTGATCAATTCACCCTACAGATTGTCAGCACAACAAAAAAAATGAAAAGAAACCATTTCACACAGGAATTCAGTATTTCGTAAGCCATTCAGAGGTAAGCTTGAGCATAAGTCAGAAGCCATATATCCTAAATGGCATTTTAAAAGGTAAACCCAAAACAATACTTTGAGATGTGCCAAGGAGAGGCACCGGGAAGTACTTGCTTATCCAGATGATAATTAACCGACCAGAAGAGGTTACCAGGAAGGGTGGTTGAGGGAAGGATCCTTGACTCATTTAATAAACAGCCTCGATGCTGTGATGGGAGGATTGGAAGGTAGGTGTATTGGAAGTATGAGATCAATTGGATCTCTTGTGATCCTGGACCAAACTTTTTAGCTGATGTGTTCCAGTAGTTTTTTCTATGGAGTAAGAGATGATTATAATTTGTTCTCGTTGACTATATTTAGAGGTTTGAGGTGTTAAATCTCATTTAAGGCTAGATATTCAGCTCTGAGACTTGTTTTGTTCAGTAACTTCATCTCCAAACTTTAAAATATTTCCAGTCAGTCCTATTTTTCCATTTTTAATGATAGCTTGTATTTATTTGTCTGTCATGAAAAAATAAATATCTCAAAGTTCCTTTACCAAGTGCACTTGATTCAAAATGAAATGAATATTATTATATAGGCAAGCACATTAGCTAACCTGCGTTAGTAACATCCTATAAACAACAACAAGATTACATTTGCATAGCGCCTTTCAGGTCGGGAGGACATCCCAAGGCACTGGACAGAGTATAGCATTTCAGACTCGAGCTGGGGTCAGGGTGAGAAGGGAGGGGAGGGGGGTGGCCAATGGCATGGCCGAAGCAGAGGGTCTTGAGGAGGGACTTGAAGGAGGCTAAGGAGGGTGTGAGGCGGAATGACTGTGGGATGGAATTCCAGAAGTTGGGGGCAGAGTAGCTGAAGGCTCTCCCACCAATGGTGGGGCAGGTGGGTTGGGGGACATGGAGCAGGCTGGAGCCGGCTGAGCGGAGGGAGTGGGCGGGTTAGTAGGGGGTTAGGAGGTGGCAGAGGTAGGGTGGGGCGAGGCCATGGAGGGCTTTATAGGTGAGGGCCAGGATCTGGAACTGGATCCACTGAAGGATAGGGAGCCAATGGAGTCGGGTGAGAATGGGAGAGATGGGGTCACGGAGTTTGGTGCGGGAGAGGACATGGGCTGCAGAGTTCTGGATTATCTGCAGTCTGTGGAGAGAGGAGTTGGGAAGGCCGACAAGTAGGGCGTTTGCATAGTCGAGCCTGGAGGTGATGAAGGCATGAACAAGAATGTCAGCGGCCTGAGGGGTGAGGTAGTGGTGGAGTCGGGCGATGTTACGGAGGTGAGGGAAGGCAGAGCGGGTCATGGCTTGGATGTGGGGAAGAAGACAGTTGAGAGTCGAACAAGACACCTTGGTTCCTGACTGGCTGGTGAGTTGAAGTGTGCAACCATGGAGGTTGATGCTGCCAGAGCCTGAGGTGCGGAGGCGCTGCGCGAGACAATCAGGAGGGCCTCAGTCTTGTTCACATTCAACTGTAGGAAATTTGCCCTCATCCAGGACTTGATGTCCGACAGACAGTCTGTCAGGACAGCAGTGGGCCTGGAGTTGAGGGTGGAGGCAGAAAGATAGAAGTTGTGGAAGTTGACCCCATGTCTGCGGATGATGTCACCAAGGGGGAGCATGTAGATATTAAAGAGGAGACAAGGACAGAGCCCTGGGGGCCGCCAGACGTGACAGTGCGGGGACTGGAGGAGAAACCGTTACAGGCAACAAAGTGAAGACGATGAGAGAGATGGAATTCAATCCAGGCAAGGGCAGGTCCGCGAAGATTAAGTAAAGTATGAGGATGGAGACACCTAGGTGTATGAGGATGGAGTGGTTGACAGTGTCGAAAGCGGCAGAGAGGTCAAGGAGGACAAGGAGGCAGAGGGAGCCCTGATCACAGATGTTCAGACTGTCATTAGTGACTGTGACCAGGGCTGTTTCTGTGCTGTGGGCAGCGCGCAAGCCGGATTGGAGGGATTCAAAGCGGGAATGGTGAGAGAGAAAGGAGTGGAGCTGGGACACGGAGAGGAAGGATGGAGCAGGGAAGGTTTTTTCAAGATGGGGGTGATGATGGCTGTTTTTAGGGGGTGGGAACTGAACCGGTGGACAGGGAGAGGTTGATGAATGAGCATCAGCCCGTTAACTGTGGAGTTGTGAAAATGAGAAGTTATGAGAGCACATGTGGAGCATAGTGTGAGGCGGTGTTACCTGCACAATTTGGCGGAGGATAAAAGATTAATAATAATTATAATTGTCTTCTCTTTTCGAATAGTAACATAGGATCTTTAACGTCCAACCTTCAGTGGCATAGATACACGAGACCTCGGTTTAACTTCTCATCTGAAGGACAGATCATTACCACATTTGTACTGTATTTTTCACTCCATTATTTCAGCATAGTAAATAGATGAAGACAACTTAAACCTGTCATCACATATTGAACGTTCGAGTGAAGACATTTTTTTCTTGTTACTGGGCCGTTTGCAGAAGAAAAGTGGAAAAAAAAATCTGGTTCTTTAAGACTTACCTTGAGAATTTCCCCCTTCTTAAAGCTGAGCTCATCTTTGGCTGATGTCAAGAAGTCGTGCAAGGTTACTGCTTCCATGCTGGGAGATGGAAATGGCTCACTTTGTGCACACGTCTAGTAACAGTTAATCCGGATAACAAATGGCAGCCTAGAGATTGCGGCCCCCACTCACCTCCTTTCTTGTGCTGTTTCAGCCCTGACTTCCAACACCCAGACTTTACGTTTGGAAGAGTTATTTGACAAGAACGGTGAGCGTCAGGAGAAACAGAACAGGTTTAGGTTCCCCCTTCGCAGCTGTAAATATCTAGCAGTACTTGAGCAGCGGTTGAGTGTGAAAGACGTTTCCGTTTCGAAAGGATATTGTCTCTTCACATACAATCAGAAAGCTTCAGTTACCCAAACAGGAAACTTCACTCAAATTAGTGCCAAGAGTAATACCCCATAGAAGAGGGTAACTTATTGCCCCACCCCACCTCCTATGTTAATAACTTTGGTGAATCATTTTATTGGTGTTTGAAAACTTGAAGTTTTGAGAGAAAAAAAGAAATTGATGAGGTTGAAATTTGAAATTTATAACCCACTGCACCCTTCATGAGGCAGCGGGTTAGTCACCTCAGTGTGAAGTACTTGTCCAGCTGTTGCTGTATGCAAATTGACTGCCACATTCACCTATAAATACACATTAATTAAAATTAAATTAAAAGTAATTTTTAAAAAATATATAGTAATTACTATAAAGAGCTTTGAGACACTTCACCATTACAGGTGCTTTATGAAACTCAAGTATGATTTGTTATTTGTACCAGCGATCAGAATGGTGACATAACTATTTAATCGAGAACATTAATTTTGTTGGCTGACCAAAACGTTTGGCCACCACTGCTCTCGTGGTTGATAAAGTTATCTTTAGAAGCAAGCTTAGTAACTTTATCATCCAATTCTGATGCCCTCAGTGATATGGTGAATGATTTTCATTATTAATAATAATAATCCTTGTATTTGATATAGCGCTTTTCACGTCTTCTAGACGTTTCAAATCGCTTCACAGAATATACTGTAAAGTTAACTGACTGTATATTTGTGGGTGAAACAAATATTGTTTTGCATGTGCAGTGATTATTAGTTTAAATGTGCATTTTGACTAAAAAGTGTACTGTGAAGCAGTGTTTGGGATAAGACATGGTAGGTGTGGAACTGAGGAACAAGAGTAGGCCAATCAGCCCCCGAGCCTGTCCCGCCATTTCATTAAATCATGGCTGATCTGCACCTCAACTCCATTTACCACTTTGCCCCATATTATAGAATCATAGGATTATACAGCACTGAAGGAGGCCATTCAGCCCAACGTGTCTGTGCCGCTCTTTGAAAAGAGCTTCCAAATCAACCCACTCCCCCACGCTCTCCCCATAGCCCTGATCAACCCCACTCCCCCGCTCTCTCCCCATAGCCCTGATCAACCCCACTCCCCCGCTCTCTCCCCATAGCCCTGATCAACCCCACTCCCCCGCTCTCTCCCCATAGCCCTGCAAACTTGTCTTCACCAAATAATTATCTACTTCTCTCTCTTAAAAGCTGTTCTCGAATTGGCTTCCACCAGCCTTTCAGGCAATGCATTCCAGATCCCAACAACTCACTGTGTAAAAATATTTCTCCTCCCCTTCCCTCTGTTTCTTTTAACCACTATTTTAAATCGGTGCCCTCGGGTTACCGGCCCACCCGCCACTGGGAATAGTGTCACCTTGTTCACCCGATCAAATCCCCTCATCATTTGGAAAACTTCTATTAAGTCGCCTCTTAACCTTCTCTGCTCCAAGGAGAATAATCCCAGCTTCTCCAGCCTCTCCTCATAACTGAAGCCCCTCATTCCTGGTACCATTCTGGTCAATCTCCTTTGCACCCTCTCCAATGCCTTGACATCCTTCCTAAAGTGTGGGGCCCAGAACTGAACCCAGTCTCTCGCTGAGGCCTAACCAGTGTTTATATGAAGGTTCATCAGAACTTCCTGACTTGTGTATTCTATGCCCCTATTTATAAAGCCTGGTATCCCGGATGCTTTTTTAACAGCTGTATCTCCCTGTCCGGCCACCTTCAAAGATTTACTATATGACCCCCAGGTCTCTCTGTCCCTTCACCCCCTTTAAGATTGTACCATCAGCGTATATTGCCTCTCCTCATTTTCATACCCTTACCAAAAATCTATCCACCTCAGTCTTGAAAATTTGAATGGATCCACATAGGGAAGAGGGTAGGTATGTGGGGTGGATATGGGAGGTGGAGAATTGCACATGTTTTTCAATGTGAAACTATTTTATTTGGATCTTGCTACAATGCGTTAAACTCAATGTATCTCCCTCTAAATATTCACATACCGGGGGCAGGTCAGCAAATTCTGAACAAGCCTCTGCACTTTTCTCAACTTATAAATAAAACTAGAGAGTTGCAATAGCATTATTTCCAACCAATGTTGGGATCTGTAATGTCGGTCATTAATTCAGAGATGGTCCTTTTAAATTTCTCGTTGGCTACAGTCAGCACTTCTGAAAGGGAAATTGGTTACATATTGAATTAGAAATTGTGTACTAAGTTATTTTTCGGTACACACAGCTGAAGGATTCGATGCATTGTAGATTTGCATCACTACCAGTCCCTCACTCCACACAAATAATGCAGACAAAGCTTCTTGTATGCAAATGCTTTGGGCCAGAAAAAGTCTTCCTGCCCATCTGCAGATGAACCGCAGAAGTAGCTCTATTTAAATCGGGTGTGTTTAACAACCCGTTTGACGTGATATTACTATGTACGCAGAAATATCTTGTCCTTTTTACATGAGCGGTGTTGAAAATCAGGTCGGGAATACCATGAACTGATTATAATGCGTTCCCAACCTGAAATATGCCGTTCAGTAAAATCTTATTACTGGACTACTTCTCCAGTGGTTCACTCAGTTTCTCCAGTGAGAACAGAGCCAGCAGGTGAAAGGTTTGATCCCCTTTTTGTGCTGATGTTGATCTCCCTGAGATGACACAATTAGCTTGAATAGTCTGGGTTAGGGAGGATTGATGCTCCCACATCATCTCTGTAAAGCTCGTTCAGATATTTAACTATGTGAAATGTGCTATATGAGAGCAAGGTATTGTTGATGCGGTTTGAAATTATTCTGAAGCCTTGATATCAAGGGATCACAAGAGATTGGAAGGGAGAAAGACTTTTGGCCCATTTGATCTTATCCTTTCAGAATTACCTCCCTTCCCATCACAGGATCAATCTTTTTCTTAAACGGTGTCCTGCCTTCAACCCATCCTGGCAATCTGTTCCAGTCATTAATTCACCTCTTGCGTTTGAATCTGGGCCCACTTGTTCTGCTCTGTTGGCATATTTACAATTCACATTTATATTGAGATGTCTCAATGACGTGATAAGGCGCTATATCAAATGCAAGGATTATTATTATATAGCCCCTTTCAAATCAGGGGGACACATCCTACCCTTGATACCCAGTGACATCAGCTAGCAAAGGTTGGGCTATTGTTCTCTGCAATGGATTCCCAACTCATTGCTAGTCTGTACAATTGTCCATTTGTTCATTTGTTGATACAGAAAAGATAATTAATGCAGCACTAAAAATTGGGCCTCATAAACAACAGCTGAGCTAGACAAGCAGAAAGACCCAGCTATCTTTAAATAAATTGCTGAGGTCGGCACAGTTTACAACAACAACTTGCACTTATATAGCGACCTCCACACTGCGTAACGTCTCAGAGCGCTTAACAGTGACGTAGCTTGACCCTGAGCCAGGGGGTGGGGGGATCGTGCCTGTAAGCACGGTCGAAGATGAAAGTTTTCAGGCAGGACTTGAAAGAGGGGAGAGAGGTGGTCCTGGCTGGATGTGGCGGAGGAAGGACATCTGGGAGTATCATCAATTTAGATGCTTCTATTATGAAATAAAAGGCAAACTTGTAGCTATTTTACTTGCTGCCCTGACATGAAAGGCGCTATACAAATGTAATGTGTTGCTATTGTTGCTCGTTTTCATGGGTTCTATTGATACTCAATAATTCAATAATTAATAATAATTAATAATAATTCAGGACCTATTGATACTCTGGATTAGATCACCAATGGTGACAACTTGAGAAACTGATGCAGGTGATCTGGAACGTAGATTTCAGGAGATTGCTCGGTGGTTTAAAATAATAACATTACATTAGAATGCATTAGAATATACAGCACAGAAACAGGCCTTTCGGCCCAACTGGTCTATGCCGGTGTGTATACTCCACATGAGCCTCCTGCCCTTCCTCAACTAAGCCTTCAAGCAAAACCTTCTATACCTTTCTCCCTCATGTACCTATCCAGCTTCCCCTTAAATACATCTGTGCTATTTGCCTCAACAACTCCTTGCGGCAGCATGTTCCACATTCCCACTACTCTCTGTGTGAAGACATTTCTTCTAACTTCCCTATCTGATCTATTTGTGACTATTTTATATTGATGGCCCTGGTTTTGGTCTCCCCCACAAGTGGAAACATCTTCCCTATATCTACCCTATCAAAACCTTTCATTATTTTAAAGACCTCTATCAGGTCAACCCCTCAAGAGAAAAGAGTCCAAGCATGTTCAGCCTTTCTTGATAGATATAACCTCTCAGTTCTGGGATCATCCTTGTGAATGTCCTTTGGACCCTCTCCAGTGCCTCTACATCCCTTCTATAATATATATTATATATAATATATAGAAATATACAGTCAATTAACTTTACAGTATATTCTGTGAAACGCTTTGAGACGTCCAGAAGACATGAAAAGCGCTATATCAAATGCAAGTATAATAATAATAAAAAAATAATGTGGGGACCAGAACTGCACACAGTATTCTAAGTGTGGTCTAACCGAGGTTCGATAACAGTTTACCATAACTTTCCTGCTTTTCATTTCTATCCCTCTAGAAATGAACCCCAATGCCTGGTTTGCCTTTTTTATGGCCTTATTAACCTGGGTTGTTCCTTTTAGTGAATCGTGTATGTGTACCCCGAGATCCCTTTGCTCCTCTACCCCATTTAAGTTTTTATTTTCCAGGATGTATGTGACTTCCTTATTCCTTCTACCAAAATGTACCACCTCACACTTTTCTACATTGAAATGCATTTGCCATTTAAATACCCACTCAGCAAGTTTATTAATGTCTTGCTGTAATGTGTTGCCGTCCTCCTCTGTATTAACTACTCCACCCAATTTGGTGTCATCTGCAAATTTTGAAATTGTACTGCTGATTCCCGAGTCCAAATCATTAATGTATATTATGAACAACAGTGGGTCCCAATACCGATCCTTGTGGATCACC